CAAAAAATAAGAAGGGTTTAGATGTGGGTTAAACGCTGCGCGGAGTTTTCCGAATGAAGAAATATACCCACACTCATACCCTTGGTCTTTATGAAAAAAAAATCTTTATAGTTCATTCAAAACAACAGTTGAATCTTTTTTCATCAAGTTTGAACTTGATGTTATGCAATTATTATCCTACATCAAAAATGTTTCTATTGGAAATTATTAATTTGTTTTTTTTGTCAAATTATTTCATGAAAATCATCCTATATCACTGAAATTTGTATGCATTCTCCATTATCATAAGAATTTTGGTGGAAAAAAAGCATCTTTCCTCTATTTCATTCATAATAACAAAAAACAAAACTTTTTAAAAATCATTATGATGAATCATTAAGTTTATTTAGAATATTACCATTCCTTTTATTCAAGTGAATCACAGAAAGCAAAATCTGGTTCAAATTAGATTCTATAATGTTTAATTTATTGAAATAACTTGCACGATAATGTTGTAATTGTTCTAGTGGCATATTGGTTATAGTCATTTTTTTATTGAATTTTCACTTATTAAATTTGAAATAATGATTCTTTTCTTTTATTTCCATCTTTTTTTCTTCAATCCAACATTTTATCAGTCATCATTTTCCTTATGTCATATTTCGTTTCAATCTATTGTATGTACTTTCCTCTATAAAAAGAAACTTACTTCAACTTCAAATTAGAATTCCACGAATAATCTAATCGTTTCAAGTCTTATATTTATCTACACAAAGATAAGAGTAAATCTACATATTTTTATTTCTTTTGTTTCATTAAAAATAAAAATATATATGTCCAATCGATTAAAATTTTAAGATATTTTTCCTCTAACACACTATAATATTTCATCAATAGAAGAAAGATATTATTTCATTCGAAATATTTTTCCCAGAAAAACTTTTCAAGTCATTCATCTATTATAATCAGTTAATTTTTTCTAAACTTGATGCAACCATATTCTACTGAGCAACGACTAATTCCAGAACAGTAGAATCTTATTAAGTTTTTTCTTTTTGCATTTTTCTTCATTCTAGAAAAAAGTGCCTATTTTTGCTCATAGGTTTTGCATAGGTGGAAAATGTTAAGAACAAATCAATACACAAATGTTACCTGTAGGTGGTGAATATAGAGTATCTTCAAAAAATAAATTGAATTTGCTTGAATTATTGAATTGTTTCAATTGTGCTGTTATTTTAAGTTCGTTTGACAACACTTCTGAATATGAATGTTTTCTAAAAATTTTTATAACACAGTGTTGCAAATCATCATTTGAATAATTATCTTCATTTTTTTCTAACAGAAAAACTATTGCAGTTGCACCTATTCCTAATTTTCTTCTTATGTTATATTTATCACCAAGTAAATCATCAAGTGGATTTATATTGAATTGTGTATATTCATAAAAATCGATATTCATTGTTAAAAACTTCGTGAGTATTTTCCATGTATCTTCATTAATATATACTTGTCTCGATTGTTCAGTTGTCGTTATCGTATTAATAGATGATGATGTTGCAGGCAAATAATTAAACATTTCTAAATCTTGGCTTTTATAATACTTTATACTATGATCGAATTCATTCGCTTCAATGTAAAAAAATGTTATATGTTTAAAGTTGGTTAAAAAACCATAGATTTTTTCACGTTTCTGTAAATTTAATAGCATTTGTAAATGTTGTAATGTTTGTCCAATCACTGATTCATCTGCTAAAGAAACTTGTGGTGATTTCACTTCACCAAGACAAACAACAAAATCTTGTAAACATGAATGTTTTGTTTTAATGTTGATATTTACATTTTTATATACCAATGTACAATCAGCATGATGTTTTTCTTCTAAATAACATAATTTAGATGTACTTATATATTTCAATGATGTAGAATCATTAAATGTTTGTAATAGATTAATTATTAAATTATCAAATTCTGATTAAATTTGTTCTTCATTTATTTCAGAATATGATGAAAAATGATTCAAATAATGTTCAACATCATGTATAATATTATCATTATAATAATTATTATCTTTTAACAGATGGTTAATATCGAATGAATGAATCTTACCATCTACATTTAACAAAATCAAGATGACTTGATAATGAAGTCGAACTTGTATCATTAGATGATGAAGAATGTTCATATTCTATTTTTATTCTTTTTGCTGGTTCCGTTGAAAACATTTGTTTTCTTTGTTCCTGTATTTGTTTCGTTTTTTCTTTCTCAACAAGTAGAAGTCGGCCTAGAATAAGTATTATTCGCTCTTGATTAAGTAAATATTGTTCTGGAGTAATGAATTCTTTTGGCATTTCTGCCTCAGTCAATAGCCGTTCTTCTTGAATAAGTAGTTATTCCAGAAAAAGTAAAATCTGTTCTGGATTATGTGATTGTTTTGTTTTTTCTTCTTCAATAAGTGATTTGAGTTCGGATAGTTCTAGAGTTTCTTCATGATCATCAGTTGTGGCCATCTTTGTGTATGTTTTTTTTCTTTATCTAGAAGCCAGACAAAAAAATGTCACTGTGAAAATAACGGATATAGATCATTAAGCGGGAAACAATAATTCTATTGAATAATATACTTGAAATGAATACTTTAATCTTTCTAAATTATCATTATATATATATAATACAGTATAAATCTGTCTTTCATAAGAAATTAATACAGTATTATCTCAGCATTTTAAATCGAATGCATGTTTTCTTTACAAGTTAATGCACCAATCAGAAGCGAGGACGAGCCTCAACTATGTGTATATAGCGCAAACTAAAATAAAGTACTGCTACGAAATGAAATATCACTGTGTTTAGTTTAATAATAGAGGATTTCCTGATGAAATAAATAGAATGATGAACTGTGTTGTCTCATAAAAATATACAAGTGTTATATTAATTGATTTACTGTTGGATATGTTTTCACAATAAAAATGTTAAATCTGGTTATATATTAGCGTAAAATGATGATGTATTTGGTTGTTGAAGCTACAATACTACAAAGAAGATCAAAAACTTTTAAATAGATACTGCCAGCGCTATATAAACAAGAGAAATGATACTTATTTTCAGAGAAAACAGATGCTAATATATACAATGAAAAAATGACCAATCAATTTTCTATAGATATAGATATACTGTATGAAATCCATCGGAAACGTTAAGAGATTTTATCAAAAGAAAATAATAGTAGGAAAACGTTGCAGATAGCATTGAAACTTGTCAATATTGCACCAGTCATAGTTAATAAGAAATATTTTTGTTACGGATGAATTGGCAAACGAAAACTTTGATCGTATTGTTAATTTTATTGAAAAATAAGAAAGAACTCACTCATATTATTGCTAAATATGTCTCATTAAGATGAGAGTATGTCATCTAGAATAAATTCGTGCAACTCGATCAGCTACTTGACACTTGATCCAATGCGAGTTCGACCTCGTCGTTGGTGAGACTCAAGTTCTTCTGTTTATTCTGTTTCAATAATTAACAATTACTTTCATCACTCCGTAGTGTTATTTATTTGTGAAGTAAAAAAGAAAGTATTGAGTTATGTCTTAAAAACTATTGTATTTGACAATAGCTGACTACTATAAAAAAGATTCTTTTTAATACTTACGATGATAATGTAGTGTATGACCAATGACTTGGCAAATGAGTAATCAAATTTATTCAGAAGGTAAAATATTTATAGTCATCAATGACAGAAGTACACATCAATATATATTTGCACAACTATTATGATTAGAGCATCAATATTGTTTTTATCAAAACTAGCATCGCTAACGGCAAGTGAAAGTGTGTTTGGTAATACTTAAAGTGTCTTGTAAATCAGAAAAATAGCAGCCGAATAGTAAATCACGTAACTTTCTTCACATAGTCTCTTTCTTTTCGATGCTACCGATCTTTATATACCCAGGTTGAAAAAGCACGAGCGTAGACGGTCGTATACAAACAAAATACGACGAATTACGATGGTCGTATACGATGTTTGTATACGTCAATCGTATACGATGTTTGTATACGTCAATCGTATACGATGCAATACGGTGCTATCCGGTAGTCGTAAACGACCGTTCCATACGACCATCGTAAACGACGTTCGTATACGATCGTATATTTGCCGTGTTCAACGCTAAGTAACTTTCTTTGTATAAAAGAATTTTTTGAATAATTATGAGTTACGATCGTACAATGAACAGTAAATANTAATAAGATTCTAATTACTATTCTGGATTCTGTCGCTGTTCAGTAGATTATGGTTGCATCAAGTTTAGAAAAAAGGTCTATTTTTGTCCATAGATTTTGTACAGGTGGAAAACATTAAGAACAAAGCAATACACAAATGTTATCTGTACGTGATGAATATAGAATATCTTCAAAAAATAAATTATTGAATTGTTTTAATTGTTCTATTATTTTAGGTTCGTTTGACAACACTTCTGATTTTGAATGTGCTCTGAAAATTTTTCTAACACAGTGTTGTAAATCATCATTTGAATAATTATCTTCATTTTTTTCTAACAGAAAAACCATTGCAGTTAAACCAATTCCTAATTTTCTTCTTATATTATATTTATCACCAAGTAAATCATCAAGCGGATTTATATTCAATTGTGTATATTCATAAAAATTGGCATTCATTGTTAAAAACCTCATAAATATTTCCCATGTATCTTTATTAAAATATATTTGTCTCGATTGTTCAGTTGTTGTTATCGTATCAATAGATGATGATGTTGTAGACAAATAATTAAACATTTCTAAATCTTGGCTTTTATAATACTTTATAATATGATCGAATTTTTGCGCTTTAATGTAAAAAGAATGTCATATGTGTAAAATTAGTTAAAAAATCATATAATTCTTTCACGTTGTTGTAAATTTAATAGAATTTGTAAATGTTGTAATGTTTTTCCAATTGCTGTTTTATCTGTTAAAGAAACTTGTGGTGGTATCACTTCACCAAGACAAACAACAAAATCTTGTAAACATGAATGCTTTGTTTTAATGTTGATATTTATATTTTTAAATACAAATGTGCAATTAGGATGATGCGCTTTTCTTTTAAATAACATAATTTAGATGTACTTATATATTTCAATGATGTAGAATCATTAAATGTCTGTAATAAATTAATCATTAAATTATCAAATTCTGATTGAATTTGTTCTTCATTTATTTCTGAATATGATGAAAAATGATTTAAATAATGTTCAACATAATTTGTAATATTATCATTAAAATAATTATTATCTTCTAACAGTTCGTTAATATCGAATGAATAAATCTTATCATCTACATTGAACTTATAAAAATCAACACGACTTTATAATGAACTCGAACATGTATCTTTAGATGATGAAGAATGTTCATTTTCTATTTTTATTTGTTTTATTAGTTTCGTTGAAAGCATTTGTTTCCGTATTTGTTTCAATTCTTCCTCCATTTGTTTCGTTTTTTCCTTGCTCAAGAAGTGTGATCCGGTGTAAAATACGTTGTTTTCGATTGTCATTAAGTACACATTGTTCTGGTATTTTAGCCTCAACCAATAGCTGTTGTTCTTGAATAAGTAGTTGTTCGAGAACAAGTAAAACTTGTTTTGGATTATTTAATTGTTTTATTTTTTCCTCTTCAATAAGTGATTTGAGGTGAGATAGTTTTACAGTTTCATCATGATCATCATTAGTGGCCATCTTTGTGTATGTTTTTTTTTCTTTATCTAGAAGTAAAACAAAAAATATTCACTGTGAAAATAACGGATATAGGCCAGTAAGCGGGAAAAAATAATTCTATTCAATAATATACTCGAAATGAATATTCTACTCTTTCTAAATTATAATAATATATATAATATAGTACGAACCTGTCTTTAATAAGAAATTAATACAGTATTTTCTCGGTATTTTAAATTGAATGCATATTTTCTTTACAAGTTAATGCACCAATCACAATCGAGGATGAGCTTCAATTATGAATATGCAGCGCAAACAAAAATAAAGTAATATCACTGCGATTAGTTTCATAATAGAGAAGCTATTGATGGAATAAATGGAAATAATAAACTATACTGTCTCATAAAAATATACAAGTGTTGTATTAATTTTTTTTCTGTTAGATATATTTTCATAATAAAATTGTTAAATCTGGTTATATATTACTCTAAAATCGCCGTCCATTTAGTTGTCGAAGCCACAACACTACAATCAGCGATATATAACAAGAGAAATGACACTTATTTTGAGAGAAAACCGATGTTAATGCATACAATGAAAAAATGATTCATCTATTTTGTACAAATATAGATATACTGTACGGAATCGATCAGAAACGTTAAGCGGTTCTGTCAAAAGAAAATAATAGTAGGAAAACGTTTCAGGCAACATTGAAACTTACTAACATTGCATCAGTCATAATAACAAGAAATATTTTTGTTACTGATGACTTGGCTGTAACGAAAATGATGGATAGCGTGTTTCGTTGCTGCTGCAGTATTTATTTTATTAACGTTAACCTAGAGAAACTGGAAGAGTAGCGTAATCGCTATCCTTGGTATATGATGTTCACTACACTACTCAATCATTCCAGTTCTATCCATTTCACATAGAACGCAAGTTTATATACGACAGAAGACATGAGATGAACAGAGGAGAGAATAAATAGAAAATAGAGTGACTGGAAAGTTACTATCGATCATGAGGTCACAATGCATAGCTGCATGTTGACCGATAGAAGATGAACAATGGTCGTGCCCTTATTATCAGCACAGTAAGGTTTAAAAACGGATCAAGTTGTCACTAATTTGGCACATATGTTCATTAAAACTTTCAAGATGTTTAGAACTTGTATTGCTCACCATTTTTATAACACATACTTTTTATTTAGATCATATTTTGGAAGAGATATAAACTATGTAAATTCTATTCATAAATTTCAAGTTGTTTTGCAATACATGGCAGGTCCATTTTCATCAAAACATCTTGATAATCTTTGATTATTTTTTTGGATAGTGAAAGCAATAGCAGATTCCGATTTATCGTGAAAAACTGCATCATATTTCTTACCAATTCTTAAAGTTTTTATACACTTGATTACTACACTTTGCAATTCATTAGAGAGGAAAATGTCGACCAAGAAATTCAATGAGAAAATTGGAACTAATCGAGATGTTGGTATCATCAGCTCGAAAGTATGAGGTGTGGGAATGGGTGGGTGTTGCGGCTGCATGTGAAGACTTGTGTGTTTGGGTATTGGTTTTCTTTCCAAACTTGTTAATCCACGCCCGAACTAACGTAGCAACAATCACAGCCAGTTCTCTAAAAGAATCGAAGAGTTTGCAACAGTCCACAGCACCTTGTGGACCTGTCGACGAAAAACATACAAATTCCCAGTAAAATACTTATGTTTTCATATTTCTTCAGCTCAGAAAAACAACACGTAAACAATCTAAGTACATTCTTGAAGAAGAAAAAGCATGTATGTAGTGACCAATTAATAAGGGTGCGGGTGTACATATAGTCTATTATATTCACCAACATCTGATATACTAAGATCAATACGAATACCAACAACCCTANACTTGAATAGAATGCCCAAAATAAGCAAAGTTCTGTGTATTTCAGAGTGTAGGTTAGGATGACGAAAATCTACTCTTTGCATCCATACCCACATCCATTTAACCATCTTTATAGAAAAAAATAAAGTCTGTTCAAATTCGATCCATTTAGATGGCATTTCTAAATTATTTCGTTAACTAGTGTTTAGTTCTTATTATAGTTGGATCCTTAACAATTAAAGAAAAAGCATTATTTTGTTCAATCGAAGAAAAACAAATAAAATTTGCTGTGAGTTGTCGCTTGATTGCAGTGAAGCTAATGTTGGCGTTGAACATATACATTCAAATAATTTACGTTCTACACAATGCCATAGAGCGCATTTGAAACTATACAAAATGTGCTGAAATCAGTCATTGGGAAATCATTTCAGAAAATATCGATCTATTTGAGAGAATATACTTATTTTGTCTTGCATGTAGGTACTTCTCACGATTTCTTAGGCCATCTTACACCATCGGATTCTGCAATAAATTGTTCGATACATTTTAGTAGAGAATAGAATAGACAATGTTATGGTGAAAAATATCAGACTAATGAAGTTGATGTATAGAAGAGATTTTAAGAATGTTAATAGCGCAATTATTTCTGCTCTACTCGTTATTTTCTCGTACAAAGGACATTTAGCATTTGATTGCAAAAATGCCTATTTGTTTCGTTTTTCAATGAAACATTGAATTGTCGATAATCAGTATTCAAAGGTTTGCACCGTATTTCACAATCGAATACTATCTGATCTTAAAATATATTACTTTTCATTGAAACTTCGAATATTATTTTGCAGATTTTTGGTTTTGACCAAGCTTGTACTGCATCGAAAGATATTCAAACTGGTTATGTTGTAACTCTGTTTGTCCACAATCTTGTTTTTGTTTCAAAACGTATTAAAACTTTTCTTATTAGATGGTGGCGTGCACCAGAAGTAATTACTAATTGGGGACGATACGATGAAAAAATTGATTTATGGTCTATTGGGTGTATAATGGCAGAATTAATATTACTAAGACCAGTTTGTCAGGGAAGAAATAATCTAGATCAATTAAATAAAATATTTGATTTAATCGGTACACCAGATATAAACACAATAAATGAAGTATGCGCTGAAGGTTTGTATTAAAAAAAAAAGAAACTCTCATCTCACATATAAACTTTGGACAAGTTAAAAAACAATAGCATTCTTCGTTCATGTTGAACGTGAAAATCTTTTTTCAATCGTCATCAGTTAATATCTCTGATAGCGTAACGTAGGTGCTAATATCTAAGAGAAATTTTTAGAGTCTCGAACATATCTTAGCCACATGAGACCGAGACCAAGACAAAATTTTGATCAATTGTTTGGTTTTCAATATGATTCACAAAGAATCGAACCAATATCTGGTGTTTCACCACAAGGTAGATTTCGAACCAAAAGTGACAAGAATATATTCATTTCATTTACGTTTCCTTTGATAACAGGTATTGATTTACTTGGTAGTCTTTTATCTTTTGATCCTCGTCAACGTCCAACTACCGAGGAAGCTCTAGGTAAATTATCATGGGAAATCCACTTAGCATATTTTTGTTTCAACGTCACATTTATATTTTAGCACATCCGTTTCTGAATCAATATCATTCTCTAGACAAAGAACCCACTACAGGCCATATTGTTGACGAGCATCAAGATGTAGAACATAGTGTACTAGAATGGAAATGTAAGTTATTCGAATAGAAAATCTATTTTTATTCATCTTTTTTTTGGTCGGGTAAAATCCGGCGAATAAAAAAGATAAGATCGAGGGAAAAACAGTAGAAACTATGGTGATGAAGTTCCATAAAATCATGTTAAGTCTGCTGTTTTTCTCTCGGATAGAATATAATTAAATATTGTTTTTGTAACAGTATTTTATCCTATTAGGGCTGGTCCAGAATTAATTCTATGATACATTATTCTCGCATTTAACACAAGCAAACTCTTTGAAAACGTTGTTTCGTTAATGTTCCTTCTGACTACTGAATAATTATAAAGTTTGAGATCTATAGTTATTTTCATAGATGAAAAACTATAAGAAAACTAACATGGAGTATTTCTTGGATATTCTATTTACTTAAATTGATAAATTTCCAAAGTAATCCAACTTTTATGGATAAATGACTATAGCGTGCCCGACCACAAGGCAGCGATCGTTATAAGACTATATTTTGCAAGTGACAAATGTGTAAACTTCATTCACAACATTGTAGTAAGAAAAGCAGCTTAAGACTTGAATGCTTGCAGAAATGTAATTTTTCAAGATGATCACGATCATAAGCAAAGGATGCGGATAGCTTTAAATGCTGCTAAACATATTTTTCTTAATCACATTTAACCGATAAATTGCACTCTAAATCATTGAGAAAATTGAAAAAATACTACATCATAGCCTTGTTACAGTACTAACCTGCCAAAGTTTCAAAGAGTTTGCTTTTGTCGAATGCAAGAACGATGCATTTTACAAAAATCGCTTTAAAACTTTTGAAACATACCTTGTATTATTCATTTATGGATTATTTGTCACAAAATTCTCAACGTTTATTTTGAGGTTTTCTCTGCAAAAATTAAGAGAGATTCCATGTGGAGAATAATCACTTTATTTATACATCGATTTCAAATGTTTATTATTCTTTTAGCTATTATTTGGCACATGATTCAAAATTTTGTTCCACCATCTTGGGATTAATGCTAGTCTCGATGATGATTCCTGAAACAGTATTATGCATAACAAAAAATATTATTAGTCCAGAACTATAACTGTTCTTATATATTCTCTTGTGTGGTATTTTTTTTAGACTTTTAATGTAGTTTTTTTTTGCAATTGTGTTAACATAACAATTTAGTTTTTGTTTAATACAAGTAGCGCTCATTGACAGTCAATTCGCTTCCTGCTAGACTGAGGTAATGGTCTACAAGAGTTTTGGGTATGGGTGGGTAGGATGTGGGTACGTATGCATGTGGAGTGCGAGTGTGCCGTGCCGATGTTCATGTTTCTACATCCACACACCCACAATCACGCGTACACCCTTTTGAACATTTATGATAAAATAAACAACCACAAGAATTATTATTAGAACTGTAAAATTTACTATTTCTTTTTTTCTTTCTTTTTCTTTTTATATTGTATTACTGGTACTGACAAGGTGATAAAAGTGAAGCTCTTTTTCATTCTTCTTCTTCCTTCATACGAGTATTCAAATATAAAGAGAGAAAGAAGAAAGAAATAGTAGACTTGACAGTGGTAGTAATCATTGACATGCTTGTTTATTCCATCCAAAGTCTTCGAAGTTTCTAAGTCAAATCAATGAAATCGATCATAAGGTCAATGGAAATAAATATTTTCAATTAAGGAGAAAAGAAAAGAGGCTTCATAGGAACAACGGATCGTACAAGGCACTGTTTACGAAAAAACCGTTGAAGTTTAAATTGAATTGTTGGAGTTATTAAAACAAAAAGAAACAAATCAGAACAATTATGGGTACAAGTTACATTGATATTCATTCTGTAGTTTTCTCAGCAAATTAAAAATTCTTTTCTACAGAAATTGACATCTATAAATGAGATATCGGTAGATATGGTCAGATTGTTACACTGTTGCGGTAAAAACACTTCCAAATTTACTATATTCTGGAGACAAGAGACATTTGAAGAAAAAGTCATCAACTATTACAAGTTCTTTTTGCACTTTATGATAATTTAATAGACGTAAACAAACATATACTTTTTTTACACAAACAAATATGCGCTGCTTGATGACTCGCGTGAATGCTTCACCAGTCATCGTTTTGCGATATATCAATGTGCACAGTTTCTGCACTTCAATATTTTTATATTTAGCAAGCAGCTGTGATTTACCTATTTTTTTACCGTGTCCTGTGTTAATCGTGAAAAGAGGAAAGTTACAATGCATCGAAAGCACTGTATTCAGTCATACTAAGACGATGTGAACAAATTTCGATTGAAACTTCATCAATTGACCATCGACGCAGTAGAGCAACGAGCGTATGATGATTTGAGAAAGTGACGATCGAGCTTCAATACAGCATCGTCTTCTAAGCAAGTCGAACAAATGCTCAATGAAATCGAAGAACATAAACGAGCAGAAGTGGGTCATCTGGTCAGCGAACTTCGTATTTCACTTACTGATTTCCAAAAGCATTCTCCTAAGCCGTCTTACTGAGCTCGATAAACGTATTGCGTCGACGAATCAGCACGACAATGCGTCGTTCAAATATATCAAATCCGAATTGACATCAGTCGGTAAAGAAATTGATTCTCTTCGTATGAATATCGATGTTCAAGTAACTGATGATTCAAAACGAAGACTTTCATCGACTCCACTCGCTCGAAACAGTTTGCAATTGGTCAAAGCGTTTGATTTCAAAAACCCGGAACCATCATCGTCGACTTCGTCCTTCAGTCTTCTCGTACCAATTCGAGATTTTTTACATCAAGCATCATCTTCCGGAACGAGCTGAGTGTGGGTGTGGCTGGATGTGGATGTGATTATTGGTGTAGTTTAAGAGGAAGAACACCCAAACTCATGCGTACATCCGCACCCTCGTGCATATTATAAGTTGAGAGATGGAAAAACTTTCAGCCCAATCGCAACATAATTGAAAGACGAAACACGATCGAGCCGCTTTACTCATACATGAGAACTTCATCTTTAAATATAATGCTTGATTTTAGAAGTACCCGCTTAAGCGTCACAAAGCTTATCAAGCTTGTAACAAAAACGTGTCTAAATTGTCGCTGACTGTGACAAACATATCGACATTCTCTTTTTTTGTTTTTTTGACTACGAAATTTATATTATAAAATAATTATTTAAATATTTACTTGGGAGTATTAGATCCGGAATCTAAAACTCGGAGGATGGATTAAGTTTTTGTGCTATGTATTTCAACATTCATTTCCGCTTATGTTACGCAAAACTTTCTTGGCACAATGTTTGATGAAGTTTAGGTATAAAACTTGCATAACAATGCAGTAAAAATGAAGCGGTTGAGAAAGAAGATATAAATTGAGACCGTCAACATAAAATATATTTATGTACCAAATCATAAAGCAGATTTATCTGATGAATTCTTCATTCTTTCGCTGTTGAAAAGAAAAAAGTCCATCTTTATAAGAGGGGATGACTTGCAAGGTGGAGTGAAATAAGTTTCGAAATGTTCACTGACACACAGTATTTTATTGAAGTTAGTTACACAGAATTTAATAATGACTTAGCTGGTTGAACGCATGATTTCTCTCTTTGAGTGGGTGATTACTTCCATGATTTTTTAACATTCGGCTACATACAGGTTAACGGCACACAATACTCAATTATATCTGGAGGCACTCTTTTTCCAAAAATGCAGTCTGAGTTTTATTCTGTAAAAGTTATATTTTTTGAACAGTAAAGAGCAAAAGGAAAATGGGGTATAGCTATTGGTTGAAGGTGTTGGTGTGACTGTGGAAGTGGTCACATCCATACTCTCACCCAAATCCTGAATTACGAGAGAAGTTATTGTGTGACGATGCGTCCCGTCACAAAAATGAATTTTTTGTGAGTTTGTTCTTTGTCAAACTGCTTCTGATCGTTATTGATATTCTTGGCAGAAGAAAATTGGAACGATCATCGTCTTTATTCTTTCTGATCCAATCCAATGTTAGCTAAACGATGCCTGATATGAGTCAATTGTCTATTTAATTCGTCAATTTGGTTCTGCAAGGCGTTAAACCGTTTGTTGAAATGTTCAAGTAAAAGTTCAACATTCGAATGCTGAGGCGAGTCAATAGCTTCAGCGGTTGATGCCATCGTCAATGGGAGAGGACTTTGGGCTAGGAAAAAAATTCGATTAGATTCATTTAGGTTACAAAAAAAGATGTCTACTCTGTAGACACTACGAGTCAAAATTTTTCAAAAAATTGATACAAAAATTCGTCGACGCTCTAGCAGCATATGAGTAGTGACGTATGACATTCTGATGAAACTATGTGCAACTCCTTCTTGCTAATAACTTTCGCATTTACAGTCTTTTTGCGTAATGGTCAGAGCAACGCTCTACTCTATTCATTAATCATCTCGCAAATCTCCTACACACTCTTGCTTTCTGGGTCAGAGATGTGCACCGCTCGTGCGATTCGTCCGTCCCTTTATGAGAAATATGACTTATATGAGTGCGGCCGCACTGCTTCCGAATTTTGCGAGCGGGACTGGTGCGAAGCGGCCGTCCTCACCTCATTAACCGCCCGAGCGGTCGCATGATCTTAATTTAACCATATTGTGAGGTAATGTCTTCTGAAGTCTAAACCGATAAATTCAAGCTGCGTTTAATATCGTAAAGCAATATTGATGACCTTTTTTTCTTAAATAGTAATGATAAATAAGGAAGCATTAACTTCGTACTCATATTTGATATAAATATCATTTTTAAATCTTTCGCCGGATGGATTTTGATCCTCAAAATGTTTGTTTTATACTAGGTGTTCTATAGTGCCATTTATACATTGTTTCTTTTTTCTTACTCCTTTTGTTACACATACTAAATAGGTACATTGTTGACTTCAACTTTTTATTTCTCCATTATAATTTATAATTCTATTTATTGAGCAGCTTTGTATATATCTCCCCCTTTACTATAAACTTAGTCTGTGACTGTATTGGTTGATAAATAAAATCATTGAAAATTAACTTTCTTATTCATTTATTCGTTGTTCGTTTTTTCCATTTATAATGCTCATCATATGGTATTTCTCTGCTAATACATGAAGAAAAATATTGAACCTTGTTATTTTCTAGATTAATTGTTTGCACATTCGTCAGTATTTAATCGTTTATCAAAATGGAAATTTTAAATCTATGATGTCCAGTGATATTAATATTGAATTAATTATCGTAAAAAATATCATCTTCTTTGCTAGTGTTGCGTTATTTTCTAATAACTTTTCCCATCACATCGATCTAATTCTAGACTTATTAAATTACATTGAAACGAGCTTACAGGATCAATACATTATACAGTATTGATTAAAAAAAGTTGTTGCAATAAACCTAAGAAAAAATCATAAAAAACAACTTCAGTGAACCCCGGGCGACCGCACTATACGACTCTCTCCACAAAATATGGTGCGGCCGTTCCGCACGCTAAAAAGACTTGAGAAGCGGTCCCTACCACCGTCACTATTTGAAAATTTAACTCTGATTGTTCGCCGCCGCTGATCGACTTTTAGGAGCGGTGCACATCTCTGTTCTGGACCTTCTTCTCTGAGTACAATTTTTTTCAATTTAATTTCTATCCTTTCTATTTTACTGTGGTTATTTTTCATTAGCTCTCTTTTTGTTACCTTTTCATACTGATCTCATGATGGTGTATTATATCGGAAAATTCGACTTATTTTGTTGTAGTCGAGTACTATTGGACTTTATAATATCTTTTACCTGAATTTGAAGTGGTGTTCATGCCGTATCTCATGGTTACTAGAACATTACAGTGTATGTTCTCGTACGTTAGTCAGCACACCTGCTACCTTTAATCTGACAATAAGAGTAAGAGAAGCAAAAGAAAACTGAGTTTCAATTTTCATACTTTTGACATGTGAGATCCGTCGAAAACGTATACTTACTCATCGGTTCAAATAATGAAGGCTCCGATTGTTCTATTGCTAGAGGCCTTGTTGAAGCTTTTCGAGCATTTG